TGAATTAATTCCTAAAACTATTGATTTTCTTAAGGATAAGTGGTCTTAGTTTTGCAATCTTTTGGTTCTAATTCGTAATGCAATATTGAACTAAATTTGGCCTAAGGAATTAAGGAGATTTGGTTGAATATTAGGACCAATGAATTGAGGAATCAATCTTTGGTTATTGTAAAGAGAAACCAATTGTCAATCAATCAATTGCTTGAATGTTCAGAAGCAGAACTGAATTGATATTGATATTCTAGTGAAATAAATTCCTAACTTTCCTTCGTTCATAATTCATTCAAATAGTACAAATTAACATTCTGTTTTTAACAGTTTCTCATTTCTTTAATTCTGAAAATTTACTTTCTTTCATATTAAAATCTGTTCAATGAATTGTTTGGTGCAAATGGTTATTATCTTGTGAATTAGTGATTAAAAATAAGATCCTAGAGGACGATACTTGGGACTCAATCTGATTTCCACATTTTATAACTTGCTACAATTACCTAGTACACTTGCTAGTATTGAAATACACCAATTAAGTACTATGATATAGAAAATGTGTATCACGCCCCTGCCCACTATCGGCTGGATTGATAGCGACCCGGACGACCTCTCGCCCTCAACTAGTGAATGACTCTCACGAATCTGACGGACTAGAGTCTAACCCCAGCGAGGATTCCTTTCCGTCAAAGTTTTATTTGTAGTTGTTGTTTTTTTTTTTATTACGTCATGGATGAATATTGCTCATAGGACTTGGGTTGTCTTTACTATTTTTGGAGCACTAAACTTTGGGGTTATTTGGCTTTGATTTTTGTTTTACCTTGGACACTTTGGTTGGATGGTTTATATATATACTTTTCTTTTACCAACATACTCTTTATTATATTTCCATAATTTTTATCTCTAACGGTATCGTCATTTTAGAGTCATCCTACGAATAATTGGAGTAATTAACATAAATGACTTGTATGTTGTTGAGATGCGAGACTAATAAAATTATAAAATTTATGATGAGTGAGCTCGATGCAAGTACATTGTTATAATCGTTATCTTTTAGTTAATTTGAGTTATTCTGATAAATTAAATATTTGAGTTGGAATATAAATACTCTTTGATTGAGTTCTCTCACACGTCTAATTTAGGGGTGCCATATTGTAGAGTCTTAAGTCATATTATAAGTATATGGAGTTTTGGTAGAAATTAGGTGTTACAGAAATAAATTAGACTTGTTATAAATAAATGCTTTAATTTTGTATTATCGGTTATTATGAGTTATGACTACTATTTTGGCCATAAATTTTTCTATAGATATTGTTTTTGACTAATTCTAGTTGCATCGGATTCTACACATCTACGGCTTTAAAATAAATATATGGATCGCTATCAGGCCTGTAATTTATTATTGAGTCATTTATAATATTTTATACTTGTTAAATGTTAATTGAAGGATTATTTGGTATTGAAATAGATTTAGATGGAGTTTGAAATTATTTTTAAAAAAAAAAAAAAAGAGACAAAGTGAACAGTGCTGGTGAACAATGCTGGTGAACAATGCAAAACACGTGAACGATGGCAATGTGAACATTAACTCCGACGTGAACAGTGGCTATGTGAACAGTGCCAAAAAAATTTTCCTATAAATAGAGGTCCTTTACACGAAATTTTTACTTCTTCACACTTCTCAAAGGTTTCAAAGTCATATATCACCATTTTCTCTCATACTAAACCTTCATAAACTTAGATTTCTTTCTAAATCTGTGATTCTGTGTCCATTCTAAGGGATTTGAAGTTAGTTTCTCTAAGTTTAAAGTTAGATTCGCTATTCATTTCTCTTCTTCTTTTCTTTCTCATAGAAGTTAATGGTGTTCTTAGGAGAAACTCCGTTCTAAAGCTAAATTTTCGGTGAATCTTGCGTTAAAACAAGTAATATTCGATATATCTGGCGTGAATCATTGTTCTAAGGTAAGGGGAGCTTACTTTAACCTATGAACTATGTTTTGAACGGTTTGATATGTTATTAAAGAAAGGATTGAGTTGACTTTGTTAGATTTCTTTGATAAAAGCTGAGATATAAAGGATTTAATACTTGAAAGTTAATTTTCTATGTTGTAACTGCTGATAACTAATTTAATAACACTGACATTTAGCTTTATTATAAACTTGTTTTAGCTGAGCTGTTGAAATGATTTTAGCCGTGTTGCATCATGCTAAGATATATGTCTTGTATCATTATAGAACCGAGTTACACATTTAGGTGGGTAAACGTGTAACGATAGAACATGTTGAGTTGTGTTGTGTTGTGCTGTATGGATCCAGATACCAGAATGGGTCGCTCCCGGATCAGCTCTGTTCCTTATAGATTACTTAGGCTGTGAAACTAGTAGGAAACCGTTTTCATGTTGTGCATTAGATGGGTTGGGAATGCATGGGGCTGTTGCTGTGAGTAAATATTTTGTTCTATATATATGATTTTATTTTATTTTTGTAAGCTCACCCTTGCATTTCTGTTTATGTTGTTGTGTGCATGTGTACTGCGATGATCATACAATGGTACGTAAGCAAATGTAGCAGGTGTTGCTTCTACTTCACAAGCTAAGGGGCCAGTGGAGAAATGTTAAAAGCTGGAGTCGAGTAATTTTGCATTAAAGTCTATTTTCTTATATTTTGAAACCTCATATAGAGGGGAGCTATGTAGTATAATTTTGAGTATTTTGAATATTATGAACTAAATGTAATATTATGTTATTCTATTGAATATTTGTTGTAAAAAACTTTGTTTTATTTTGAATGAGAAGTGAATTTTATACTTATATTCTCCATTATTTATCTATCTTAAATAAGTAAGTGGTGTAGAAATATGTTCTCGGTTCCTTATAGAAAAGGATCGTGACAATCGCTGGATTTGGAGTTGTTTTCGATTTTCTATGTTTTTTTTAAGTTGAGGTAAATTTGCTAAATCTTGTATACTGGATTACATTTAGACCCTTATTATTAAATATTTGTAATTAGGCTTTTAGATACAATTGTGACCCAAATTTTGGCCATTTAGTTTTCCCTAATCAGAACTTATACATAGACTAATAAGGTTCTGAATTAGTGTGCAATTTGACATTGAGTTTTTGAGATTTGGCTCTTAATAAGAATCTTTTTCTTTTCTTTTCTTGATTTCTTTCAACTTCCTCTTAATCTTGCTTGGGTTAAGTATTTCAATGAAAACCTAAACCTCTCATTCAATCTACGAAATCCAAATGGTGTAAATTTGATTTGAGTTTTGGACCAATTGTTCTGAATTTGTTTTCTTTTTCTCTAATCTTATATTTATGAACTGTGATTATGATTAACTTTTCTGTAGTTATAATTTAAATTAGGATTTGATAATTAAATACGTAGCTTTCCTTTAATAGATGATGCTTTTTATTATTTTTTTTATTTTAAGTTAATATGGAATCGCTTAGCAAACTTGTAAAATAATAATATAAAACTCACTTAAATTTTGATATTTTTCATATATCAAAATTTTGGGTGTTGACCAACTTAACTCTTAAAGGGAGGACATTTAAAACTAAAGTGAAATTCTTATTTAGCAAATAAATAAATAAATATATAATGTTAAAAAATGCATACTATTATTTTGGTTCATCCTTAAACTACATCAAAGCTATACCTAGTTTCCATAATCATAGTGTTTTACTATTAAATAGTTACTTGTCGGTGCTATAATGTAACAACTTGAGCATACACAAGTTTCTTAAGAAACTGACATTTGCTCACTTTATCTATGGGATTTTATCATTTTTATATTATTAAAACTATTATTTATTTGTTGAAGTGAACAAGTTTATGTTGATTTTATTCTATGAAATGGTGAAATTACAACTCGATTAAAATGGATCACGAAGAAAAGTTGCTTAAAGGAGTAAAGAATTGATGGATTTTAAATTTGAATTTTTAATTTTTAATTTATCTTGTATCATTTTTAATTGAGATTTTAAGAATCAACTATTGGAGCTCTTCCTCTATCTTCTCAATACTTAAAACCTAAGCCTCCATCTAATTCAAATCCACATTATATCCTCCCATTCAAATTGTTACCTCCACGAGATCTCCAAGATGTGGTATTGTCCATCACAGAGTTGTTGTCCCAAATTAGATTGCTAGAGAAATTTTTCTTTTCTTTTCATTTACCTTTTATTTAGTTTTTTTAGTTTTCATAGCTAAAATTGATGTAACTGAGCGCTCCTTGTTATGGAGCTGGAATGAATACTTGTAATATAAGTCATTTAAACCTCAATTTAATTTTATAATATTAATGTTAATTCCTTATTAAAAATATCTCTTTATTGTTATTGTTATTCTTAAATTTACTATTTAAAAATTAATCTTAATTTATTAATTAATAGATGATTATATTATTAATAAATTAACAAAACTAAAAAATAATTTGAGTTCATCTAAATTTGTAATCAGTTAATTAAATTTGAATTAATAATATTCTTATTTATCATTTTATATTTATCAACTAGTTAATAACTAATTTTACTAATTTAATTCATTCTGTTAGCTATTTAGTTTTCATTTTTTATTTTTTATTTTTCAGTTTTAAGCCAACTTATCACTTGTTTTCTTATGTTAAAACTAACTTTAAAATCTAGTAACAATGCCCTTTCAAGTTTAAAAGTATTGTAACAAATATCTTTTTCTTATTCTACTTTTCTAAAGATATCTAGTTCCCTGAATAATTATGTTTTTACCGTCATTTTAATTAGAATAACAGTTAAAGAAAAAACTAAAACATGTATTTTATATATAATGTGTGTAATTTTAAAAAGATTATTAAATATTAGTTAATAAATAAAATATTAAAAGTAAATATTCTTTTTAAAAGATGAACATTAGTTTATTATAACTTTTTCTTTAAAAAATAAATGTTTTGTTTTTTAGAAAACGAGGCTCTTATTTGTCTGTTTCTTATTTTTAAGGGTATATAGATAGGCATTGGGTTTGTTGCACTCATCCGGTACTTGTATATGGATGGATAATATTATAAAATATAATATGCGACACGATAATAATGACTGGTGATTGAAGAAAGAATATGGGTAGCTGGCACGACAAGATGAGGCAGAACGATCCGATTCTGAGCATGGGAAGAAAGCAAGTAGTTGAAGAAGAAGAAGAATCTGAATCTCCGTTGCTGGGCAAGTCAAACGCATGGTTTAGTGGTTGTGTGTTCAATCTGTCAACGACGATCATTGGCGCTGGGATCATGGCCTTACCTGCGGCCATCAAAGTTGTGGGTCTGGCTGTGGGCATTGCTGCCATTCTCTTTCTTGCCTTTCTCACACACACCTCTTTAGAAATTCTCCTGAGGTTTAGCAGACTTGGCAACGCTGCCACTTACGCTGACCTCATGGGTTACGCTTTTGGAACGCTTGGCAGATTGCTACTTCATATATCCGTTCTCGTCAACAACTTTGGAATACTTGTTGTCTACATGATCATAATCGGTAACGTTGGATTTTTAATATTTATGTCACGTGTTAACCATGTCTTGCACTCAATGAAAATGAAAGTGGAATTTGCAGGTGATGTGTTATCTGGAACATCTTCAAGTGGGATTCATCATTTTGGGGTACTTGAAGGATGGTTTGGTCAATGCTGGTGGACTTCCCGTAGTTTTGTTCTTCTTGTGGCAACCCTTTTTGTTTTCGCTCCATTGGGATTCTTTAAGAGGATAGGTTATTTACCAGTTCCAGTGGCAATACTATCATGCATATCTATGTTTTTCAATAACCTTTTTATCACTTTGTGCCTGTAGATTCATTGAGATACACTTCTGCTTTAGCAGTGGCTCTCGCTGTTGTGTTTCTAATCATAACTGCTGGAATCACATTCATCAAGTTGCTTAATGGCAGTATAGCCAGTCCCAGGTTGCTTCCTAGTATTACTGATATTACATCAGTGTTCAATCTCTTTACGGCAGTTCCAGTCTTTGTGACGGCATTTGTTTGTCATTACAATGGTAAGCTACCTGAATCTATTCTTGCATCTTACTCTTGTTCAGAACAATGGATGTTAAAAGTTTCAACTGTTATATTATTGGAAAGTAAAAATTGATACATGTTTTTCATCTGATATAAATAATCCAATGAGAAAGGGTCTTCTTCTCTACATGTGGCAACAGAAATGATAGCAGTAAATTTATTGAAAATCACAAATTTACGTGTCCTACTCCTGATTTAATAAGTCTCGCTCATGCTTTTGTATAGAGAAGAAAGTATGCTCCTGGTACTCCTCTTTCTGGCAATTAGTGGTATCGAATTCCTTTTTGCATTTTGGAGAAACTTCACTTTTTGTAAGTGCGGCAGGGGAATGAATATTTGAAACGGCATATTGAGCTTGTTGTCTTGACTTGGTGCAATACATCTCTGTTTGCTTTGGACGAACTTAGTCTCAGGAAACAATTAAAAGGTGACAAATGAAAAGAATAGCAGCTTTACCCTGTACTTCCCTATGTAATGAAAACAAAGATACAGTTCACTCGAAAATGAATTAATGAGCAAATCTGCTGCTGGCCATTAAAAGCTGAAGTAAATGACAAAGAAAATTGATCCCTAAAACCAGCAAATTATTAGCATAGGAAAGCTGGACGTTTAAAGCCAGCAAAGCCTGTGTCACTGTATAGCTGTAATTTTGTAAAACTGTTATTCTCTCTTAATTAGGTTGCTAATTTATAACAGTAAGATAGATGTACATATGACAGTTTCGCTAATTTATAGGTCAGAAAATCAACTTGTTGTATTAAATATATGAAAATTCTCCAGCCGGAGAACACAGTTTTGCATACTCATTTATAAATTTTAACACAAATAAACCCATGATCTAGAAGGTTTATACCATTAAAGCAGAAAGGTGCACCAGGGGAGAGAGGAGGGAAGTGGGGTTCAGATGGTGCGCAATCAAGTTTGTTGACAGGGAAATATTTCCCTATGGAGCCGGTGGCTCTGGTGTGTATTGTTACACCTTGTCTCCTCATTTGCTTGAATAATATGTACATTCACCTTTATTTCTGGTGTTCTCACGAATTTTTATTTATACTTTCTGGGTCGCTCAGATATTTGATATAACAAACAATAAGATTGAGCAATGTTAAGTACTAGTAAAATTTTTTCACTGAAGTATTGTTCTGTTCTGTGCATGCAGTGCATACAATAAACAATGAATTAGGAGACTCTTCCCTGATACAACCAGTAATACGTGCATCACTGGTTCTATGTTCTAGTATCTATATTCTTACAGCATTATTTGGATTTCTTCTATTTGGTGAGTCAACACTTGATGATGTGCTAGCCAACTTTGACACTGATCTGGGCATCCCTTACAGCAGTTTTCTCAATGACATTGTTCGTATCAGCTATGCCATCCACCTCATCCTTGTTTTCCCAGTTATCTTCTTCTCACTGCGCTTCAATTTGGATGATCTTATCTTTCATTCAGCTAGGTCGTTGAACTTGGATAACTGTAGGTTTGTCTTGATCACCACTGGACTAGTCACTTTAGTCTATGTGGCTGCAAATTTTATACCTAGCATCTGGGATGCATTTCAATTCACTGGAGCAACTGCCACTGTTTGCCTTGGGTTTATTTTCCCTGCTGCAATTGCTCTAAGGTAGGGTCTTTTACTTTATCTAAATTTAGTGATCACATCATGTTTCATTAAATTTTTGGCAATTTTATCATGTTCATTTTATTGGTGTGTTTGGGGTGAATCTGTATGACTTATCGTTTAGTATTATTGTCTACAGACTTTATTAAGCTCACAGCTTTTAGGATTAAAAAACCAAATAGAATTTCGTAGAAATAATTGGTTCATAGTTTTGCTTCTTTTCTTGTTTCGAAAAAACCCGACTCTTTATTCAACTGAGAAATTTAGCATTAAGACCTCTGGGCTGCTGTGATTTAGAATTTTTACTTAGTATATAGGACGACATTAGATTGTAGAGATGGACTTGTTCATGCCAGTGGTTGAAGTCAATTCTGCAGGCCTGAAATTCAAAATTGTTGAGATGCTATTCTTGCACTGTTGAATCCATTCTGGATTGGTAGTTGCTCAAGTAGCTACATGAATGTAATTTTTCAGCTATAAACAAAACTATAATCATTTAAATTGGTTCAAACTTCAAAGCTACATAGAGCCATTTTCCTTGCTGATTTATTTCTGCTATTTCAGGGATCCCCACGACATTGCAACAAAGAAGGACAAGATTTTATCCGTTGTCATGATTTGTGTGGCTTTGTTTTCGAATGTTGTGGCCATTTACAGTAATGCCGATGCCTTGTTCAGAAAATAGGTTGATCCTCATTAATGAGTTACTCGCACCCTACATTAGAATTAAAGAGAAGAAAATCCAGCAGTAGGTTTTATTTATAGTTCAGCTGATCATATTGAACAAGTGAATTTATTTTTTCTTGAAGTTGAGTTTTTTCTTTGTCAAAAACAGATTGTGGAAGGAAAATTGCAAGTACAAGTGGGACACTTACGGACATTGGAATCTCTTAACGCACTTATATAGAGTGGTGCCCAATTAATGCGAGTCGTGTTTGGTTTTCGACTATTTTTTTCAGTTATCCCTCGAATAATTAAAACTGTTATCAAAGCACTGGTTGTAAAATTATGAGATATACCTTCCATGATCCAAATGACCACTGTTTGGTAATTTGTGCCAAATTCTCTCTCAAAAACCTCCTTTCAAAAGTTTTACTGGAACCAAGACATGAAAAGTATCAAATCGAATCATTAATCAACTTTTGTATCCAGTGAGGTACAATAAGTTAATGATAAGTCTTACTTAAATCCAACTTTGCATATTTATGTGTAATTGTATGATCGAACTTCAACAGTCTCACCTAGTGCTAGAATCGAACTATTGCCAATCTCTTGTAACATGTCTCCTAAATTCCAACTACCACTTTAAGTGAAAATGTATGAAGAAACGAAAGAACAGCATATATTCATCCATGTACAATTTGAAACTTTAGGTAACAAGTCTTCTATTTTTGGTATTATTTACTTTACACATCAATTCGAACCATGTAAAATCCAGTGTAAGAACAGATATGACAGTATCCATGACAAAAAAATGCTACATATCCTCCTAATTCCCTCCCGAAAAGAATGAAATAAAATAGTGTAAAAGTTTATTAAAAAAAAAAAAAAAGAAGAAAAGATCATACCAACAAGCCCATTTTGGCTGCTTTGAAAGTAGGAAAGCCAAGCAGACTGAAGCAGCCAGACGTGAGAAATCACCTCAAATTATTACCACTGCTCCAATCCTTCACTAATCTTCTGTTACATCAATCATGAACTAAAGCAGTGGCTGCCATATACACTTCTTGTTTTGCATGTAAACTTCTAAATCTGTAAAGCCATATGTTGAGGCCCCCTTTTGTTCATGACAATTTACCCAAGTTTGATCACCCAATTCCTTGTATGCTCATTAAATAGCACAAGACGCAAATGGAGTTCCCGCCACAGACATCTCTTGATGGAAATATGCCTGTTTGAAGCAAGTGTAGAAAAGAAATACCAGATTCCCGCAAGGCACTAAATTGGCAACCGAATTCTTGTTTTGCATACTTCTTTCTTCTTCATGTCTCTGGCTATTGCAATCCCATGCATGTAAATATATACAAATTTCATCATATTGGACTGCACTCCACAGGATTAAAGGTGAAGGCAGAAAGGTAAGCAACCTGAGTTCCTGTGAGTCTAGTTAAAAAAATAGGTAGACTCCAAAACCTCCTGAAGATCAAAGTCTCCTCGCTCTGGTAAGGGAGTAAAGCTCAATGTGGGAAAAGTCTTTTGAAAGCCCTCCAACAACTGCATTCATGAGTAAACAAGGAACTCTTAAACAGCCAAGTCCAAAGACAAGTTTACTCGTACATGATAATAAGGTAAAATAATAAATTCAAAAGCAACATGCATGCAAACAAATTGAGAGGTCCGTAAGCTCCCTAATTTAGTCACGTAGATAGGTTAGGTTAGATGATACGAGATAAGTAATTACAAAAAGCATAAATCTTTCATAATAAATGGTCAGTTTAGGTACTTCATTTCATTCCACAGAAATCCCTAAAAAAGAAAAAAGGAAAGTTCGACTGGATTTAATGACAACATACTAGCCTTGACCAACAGTAGTGTATAAAAGGAGATAGATAAAGTCATAATGGATTGATTCAAAGAAAATGCTTCATTCTTGGCAATCTAGTCCTAAGGTATGTCCATGTCACAAACTTACAAGGCATATTTAATCCAATCCTTAGAAACAGGGAAAACTGCCAAGAGACAGGATCAAAAAGTGGTATTGATCTAAACAAAAGAAATGTATATAATGAAAAGATACAAAATACTTTACATTTTCCAATATTGGAGCCTCATAGAGTTCAACAAACTTTTGCCTGAGTATCCTGTTCATTTCATCAACATCACACGCATGTGTCCAATATGAATCATGAACTCCTGCAATTAAGCATTTGTTTATAAATTTAAATTCCTAATCAAAAGTTAACACTGATGTGTACACAAAAATATTACATGCACAAATAAATGACTGTGTTATATAAACAAATAAGCACCTGCAAAGTTTAACCCTGCTTTTTTACAAGCTACTGCAGTCATCATCATGTGTGAACCATCAAGAGAGTGAACAAAATTTGGGGGAAAAGCTGTTCTCTGCCTTTTAACCATGACCTGTTACAAATTATGACGTGATATTTAGCTTGGCTCAATTTTTCTCAATAGTTCATCTAATATCTAATATAGGAAATAAAATGAAATAATGATCCATACAAAATGAAGATTGCTGCATTTTAATGCTGATAACATGGTTCTTTTCCTCAATTTTATCCGTGTGCATATAAAAATGGGTCTTTCAAATGTATGGCTAGAGCAAGACATTTCCTTTTCTGTTGCCCCAGGGGAAATGCAGGGTTTTGACAAGAAAAACCAAATAAAATAGTGATACAGTATTAAGATTGCACAGGGCAACTAAGCCTTTAAAAAACATGAACTACTCTGATCTGATGCTATGATGCATCATGCATTTTACAAAATACAGGATCTTATTCAGGCATATGGAACTCTGATACATTCAAATAAATCAACAATTAGTTTCAAAGGAATCACGAAAGTCTACATATACGGGTAGGTCAATTTTGATCAAATCAATACTTACCTTGTCAGTCTCCCGTTGTAATGTCAGTATCTGAAGAGAAGTCTTGATCTGCACATCAAATATTGTTACCTTATTAGTGATGTAAAGAATATATGTCAATTGCTGCTGGTGTATTTGACTTCAGAAAAAACGAGAGAGATAAAAGGAGAAGAATTTAGGCTGACAGTAGAGAAACATACAAGATGTCTTCCTAATTGTCGGTAAGGTTGTACAACAGGAAGACCAAGAGGTGTGATCCACCGGACTGCTTGGTTTGTGGAAGCTATAACCTATCGGTGTACAAAATTCAATCAACAACAATTGAGATGTGAACACATCAAAGCATAATGAACATTAACGCATAGGAACAGTGTTAGAACAACAACATGCAATTTCATATCTCATTGTATCGCATTAAATGCATTTAGTGTTTGTTCAGAGAAGGAGAAAAGAAAGATTTGGGGAAATCTGTGTCTAAACTATACAACAGTACTCACTTATAAATATAGAGATTGTTAAATACAAAGATTTGATGTTACCCTAACTGCCATATTACATAATTAAATGTTAATTTACCCCATGGAATTAACATATTTACATTCTTTCAACACTATCCCTCAAGTTGGGACATAAATTATTCACTTAGCTTATTACATATGTAACTTATCCAAGGACCTCCCAATGATGTAGTGAATAAATTTTCCAGTAGATCATTTGAATTAACAAAGCCATTGGCAATGTCTTGTGATTTGATTGAAGCTTGACATTTAGATCGGTAGAGGTGTCAATAGCCTTGGCATTCAATGCATTCAGTAAGCCTCTTTCCTCAAGAATTGTGCCACCATTATTTCAAGAGTATTGAAGTTTTCCAAGATCTTTTGTCAGAAAATTATTAAAAAGATGTTTTATGCTAATGATGCCATGTTAATCACTACACGATCAAATAAATGCACCCTTCAATTGAATGGTGATAGAAGACTGACATCACACCGTGTCATATCAAATTGTTGAATCTTCCAAACCAAGTTTAGGTGATCATTTGAACCCATATAAAGATTTGCAAAGACAACAAATAAGGCCAAAAGACTCCCTAAGCAACAAATATAGGTGTGTAAGAATATGACCAGAATACTCATTATAATACTTGAAAAATCTTTCGTAAACTATCTTTGGAGAAAGAGTTAGGCCAATCCATTTCTGATAGCATTCATAGGCGTCTAAGAAATAGCACTTATCCGTGGCTATGTAAAATGCATGATGTGTGTGTTGGTTTTGCTAATCATTTTCTTATGGCAATGGTTGAATCAATAAATAGAAAGTTCTGTTGAAAATCACAACAGGGGTGTATTGGTAATACTAAAGCCTGTTTGGTTTTTGGAAACGTTTTTTGTTTTCATTTTCTATTTTCAGTTTTAATGACAAAATTGTCACCTTGTTTTAATTTTCTTTCCTGTTTTCTAAGATGTATAGGAAACAGTAAAAAAAAACTGTTATCAGTGTAGGAAACAAAATGAAAAATAAAAACAGAAAACATTTCCTGAAACCCAACAGCCCGTAAATGTTACGCTTCACTGTAAAAAATTTCCACTTTGATTTGTTTACCATTGCCCACAATATTCATTCTCCTTGCCCTAATCTATTCCACTACAAGGGTCCAAAAATATGGAAACCCTTTGACTTCTATGCAAACAACTTTGCTTCCATGCTTTTGGTTTGACCTCCTCCACCAGCAATCTTTTTCAATGACCTGGACGATGAACTTTACTGCTGAGATAATCCCCCTAATACCCCTACAATTTAATCTCTCCTGTTTTGTTCATTGCAAACAAAAACCATTCATCTGCAACTACCACAATCTTAGCCACGTCAATCTCAACTACACCATCCTCCAGCTGTTGTCACTCAATGGAATTCTAATGAGGCCCTACTGTTGCCTCTATTCTCATGCACTATTACTGTGGTTAACAGTCAACTTCCTTCATCAGCGATGTTCAGTATCTCCAAACCATTTAACTGTGCTACCTTTTCTAGCAAAGACTAGTCTTTTCACAACCATGTTTAGTAGAGACTATATTATATTACTCTCTTGTTTTTGAGAGGTTTATTTGTGATGCATTTGATACTTATAAGCTTCAGCTTGGGGGGAGTGTTAGAATAACCACATGCAGTTCATGTGCATTTTATGTTCACAAGGAATTAGTGTCTAGGAAATAGCACCACTTATTCATAGTCTTGTAAATTAAATATCACTATATCATGAAATGTGTGTATATATAAGAAGCTGTGTCATTCACTCAAGCTATGCCATCCTATCTTTCTTTTATTTCAACACATAGGAACGTGGCCCACAAAAATAGATCATTAAAACATAGCAAATTAACTGTGGGTGAAATGACAAGGCTAGGCAAGGTACAATCTTTAAAAACATATATCCTCAATACTGTTACTTTATATACCATTAGCATGTTTTTGGATGATAAATGGAAGGCCACTAGTTTGAAATAAGTGTTTTTAAAGATAAGTGGTTAAAAACAAATTTCCACTTTTGTGCATATCCATTAACAGCTTACTGAGTGTTGTCAACCACAAACTTCTACAGATCTGACAATCAACCTTTTGTGTTCCTTAATGTATTTTTTTTTTAATTTTTTTTTTGGGGGTTATATATAACATCTTACCCAATCCTAGTGGCATTTACCCTCAAAATTTTCTAACAAATTATAACTAAAAGTGAGAGAACTATTTGAAAAGAATAAGGGTCTGTTTGTTTAATAGTTGTAACAAGGTTATTCCACAAACCCCAATATTGTTAAAACCTCAGTTTCCTGAATGTGATTTTTTTTTTTTTCACATCTTGGAAAGAGTATCCATACCTGCAGATGGGTAACCAATCAGGCCTTGAGATTACATATTTTGAATTTAAATGAACTGGATAAACAAACTATGAAAAGTATATTTTCCAGCTATCAACAATATATCACTCATTCTTTTTAAGTAATGCTAATCAACCCAAAAATAGTCATACCTTTGCACAATCACCCAGCCAACTCATAATACTTCTTGCAGCCTCAAACATCTCTTCTAATGCAGTGAGAGTGGTCTATAAAACAACTACTGAGTAAAATATATAATACAATAGATTTAGAAAGGTTAAATGCAACTCCACAAAATCAAATTTTCATACTTTTGCAGCATAGCACGAGGCAGCAAACAGCTCAAAATCATCCTCAATGGCACAACGCTCCTTTAGCCTCCTCTTAATCTGATCCCTAGCCCCAACATAAGTCACTCCATAAACTGACGTCATCACTGTTTGCTTTACCAACTTCCGGTCCACCTAGTAGTGTCAATTATGAAAATATTTAGTTGCTACAAGTCCGAGGTTGGTACATATGTATGCCATTTCATATTACAGAGAAAAGAATAGGTGCCACTAGGACAACTCATCTCAGAAAGTCAACAACGTTGTTGATAACAAATTTAAACACTTCCATCTTCAAATAATCCAAACATCCAAAAAAGAAAATAATGTTTCATAACTTGAAATTAATAGAAACCTGGCTGATCAAACGCCTAGCATGTAATGCATTTGGATTAGTTTGAGGATCTTTCTCTGCATCTCTTCTCATGATCTCAAGTACTCTGCACCATATTACCGAAGTTAAAGACATCAAAACAGTAGCCCTTAAACAATTTTAAGGCATCATCAAAATAAATAAATGTAGTCTTAAATGCAGTTTTGGTACTCATACTTTAATCTGTGTGTGATCTTAGTCCCCTTAATTTTAATTGCTCCCATTTAGTCCCTCTAGTTTTCAAATTATTTAAATTAACACCCTTACCCAAAATTTCATCCAATTATTGACAAAAATTAAATAGAGGTGTGACATATTATTGATTTGTATAAATAAGTAAAGAAAAAATGTATAAAATATTTAAATAAAAATACTAAATGAAATTAATTAAATATAATAAAAGCCTTTTGTATAAATCAATGATATATTATATAGTTGAGAAAATTAATTTGAATTATAAAATTAAAAGGACTACATGTGAACAATTAAAATTAAGGGGATCAAAAACACATTATTTTAAAGTAAGGGAGACTAAAAGTGCAATTAAGCCATAAATTAATTGACAAACTATTCGAAGAGAAAGGAATAAATGGTAAATTATTTTTTCATAGGGTCATATGGGTCATTTTTGGGGGAAAGCTTACAATGTAACTGACTCCCTTGTTTGATATTGATAGAATGAAATCAAATAATCAGAGAGAAAAGGAAAAGGAAAAGGTAAATAGTAACTTCCATTTGGTTTAAGAAGACTTTTTTATAATTTCATGTTCTATTTTCACATTTTAATTACAAAAATGCCACCTTGTCATCATTTTGTTTCCTAGTTTGAATGATTTGTACAGGAAATATGCAAACAATACGAATCTTTGAAAATAAGGAGGCATTCATATCCTTTTTTGTACTCTCATTTGAGCGTCTTCAGATTCACATTGAAAGACTTGTAAACGCGGATCCAATGTGAAAACTACAACTAATAAGATGGATCCAACATGAAAACTACTACCAGTAATGTTAAAATAGATAGATATTTAAATGCATATCCAAACACACAATTAGAATAAGAGATTATTTTATACAACCCAAATACAATTGATTATGTTAAAATCACTTTTCATCCAACATATTTGAACACAACTTATTTCATACAATCAATTATCACAATAATTGATGACTCAATCAATAATTGAAATAATTTATTTTTTCAGCTCATCCAAACACTATATATATATATATATATATATATATATATATATTACCTAGCAGCAATTCCTGAGTAAACATCAGCAGGCTGGTCTCCACCAACAAGATTGACTGCAGCAGCTCCCAACTTCAAAATAAATAAATAAACAAATAAACGCAGCAAATTGATGGTGAGGAATAATGAAAAAGAGAGAAAACAGAAGCAAGACAAGTATGTCAGGCAGAAATTGTATAAAATCAGTCTACCAGATGTAATAGAACTGGATAAAAATAAGAAAGAATTTGAGATAGATGAAGAAAAGAGACTGTATTATTGACTAGTACAACTCAGGGTATCCGAGACAACATGTTCTCTCCTCACTCTCAAAGAGCCTAATCCTTTCTAAATGACAAGATATCCCTCTCTTAACCTCCATTTGTATTCATAGGCAACATGTCTTAATTCAAACAATCTCACCAAACTAACTGATTGGTGACCAAGTACTAATGGGGGTACGTAACAATACTGTCGCCCTAAAATTACACCTTGTCCTCCAGGTGAATTAGATTTTGGCAGTTGAAAACCAGGTGCCTCTGGGGTTTGAACTGTTGGAATCATGACGACCAACCTATCCCTACCACTGTAGTCCCAAAATAGCTTTGATTCCTCTAGGGTCAAACACAAATATGTGAATGCTCCTATTCTCTTCAGGTGCTTTGTTTTCTGATGTCTTTACAGCCTTGAAACAGTGTTAATACATGTGCAACTGTACTGAGAAGCCATGGCCCCATTGCAAATGTTCTGATTGCAAGTTGTAGCACTAGCAGTTGATTATTAGTGTGATTCAACTTCTTTTTCTTGGGTCTGATCCAATATATCAGAGGAAGGATTAAGCCTTTGCCATTTTCTTTCTGTTGACAAGCCCAAGTTATCCATTCAGTTCTCCCATTTATCTTAATTGTGCTATCCAGGGGAACAATTTTCTCCTCTGCCTTCACTTCTCCCAAAAGATGGTTGTCATCACCCACAGTCTGTTCTCTATTTTGCCTTGTTTCCTTCTCCTCCATTGATCAATCAAACTTTTCATCCACCCTATCTATCAAAATGCTTGTTCCTTTCACTATTTCTGCTTCTGCACTATCAGTTTCTTCTCCACCGATTGTTTTCTGTTTCTTTTACTTCCTCAACATCAATGCTGCCTCCATCACCATGATTCTTGTTCTGGATCTCAAGATTTCTTTCTAATTCAGATTCACTAAGTTTTCCTTCATCTCTCTCATGATGATTCTTACTTCCTCCTCCATATTCAGTGGTTGTGGAAAGCCAAGTTCTGCAGTCCAAGGTAGTCAAAATCGCGTTTCGGATCGTAGAATCGGACGATTCTACGATCTCCAGCAAAGCTTCCATGCTGAATCAGTGCTAGGAACATGAATTGGTATGATTGGTGGGATCGTGCTTGTTGAGCCGTAAAATCGTTGAAAACACATGATCTCGACGCGCATAGAATAAGACTTTTGGGCCAATGAACCACGACCCCAACCCGACTTCATTAAAGGGGTTGGAACCCTAAAATCCCAAAAACTCCGCACTGCGACTTCTTCCTTTCTTCTTCACTCTGTTCTACAAGACTTTAAGTCTCTGATGTGCGACTTCTTCCTCCGACTCTGCTGTGTGACTTCTCTGTGTTTTTTCGACAACTACGAATTGGCTCCGGCGACTGAGCTTTAGCTCCCGCGACTTTACTTTTTCTGCGATTTGGTCTGGGATTTTCTGCCTTCTGCGCTCTTTTTTTCTTCTTCATCTTCATCATCTTTGGGCTATTGTGTGTGACTGGGATTTTCTTCATTTTTTGCTTTTGTGCTCTGCTTTCCATTTTCTGTGCTACTATTGTCTGCTACCATTAGATAAAATGGCTTCAACCAGTAGTCAAGCTCCTTCCTCCAAGTCATTACCAAAGAATGCACCCGGAAACAAAAGTGATGAGCATGGCAACATGGGATTGCAATTGAAGGTACAAGAAAAATTCAATGCAAATATTGTCAAAAAAATTGTAAGTGGAGGTGCTGATCGATTGAAGCATCACTTGGCTCAAACAGCCAAAGATGTTGGAGCATGCAAATCTGTTCTGGATGAGGTCAAAAAGCAAATGTGAAATTTACTTGTACGCATGCAAGAAAATTTGAATAAAAAATCAAATTCCTTTGCTGACTGTTCTGCTGAGAGAGAGACTTTAGATACAAGTAGTGGAAGCAAAAGAAAATCAAGTGAGAATGAGGTGACTGGAGGAGGAAATATTTTTCGGAAAAGGAGCACCCAAGCAACAATCAACAACATATTCAACAAAACTAGAAGAGAGGAGGCTTGTCAAGCTATTGGATGGTTTTTTTATAATAATGCCATATCATTTAATGTGGCAAGAAGTGATGAATTTTCTGTTATGTGTGATTTTATTGCTAGTCATGGTCCTAGATTTAAACCACCAACCTATCATGAAATTAGAGTAAAGTATTTGAAGAAGGAAATAGAGTTAACAAAGGAGAGATTAGAAGAACATAAAGCTGAATGGAATACTGTTGGATGCACATTAATGACTAATGGGTGGACTGATAAGAGGAGGAGAATAATATTAAACTTCTTGGTAAATAGTCCTAAAGGAACTATTTTTTTTAAGTCTATTGATGCATCTCATATAGAAAAAACAGCTGATAAAATATTTAAAATGATTGATGACATTGAAGAAATTGATGAGAAAAATGTAGTCCAAGTTGTGACTAATAATGCAGCAAATTTTAAAGTTGCAAGGGAGATGTTGATGCAAAAAAAGAAACACTTGTATTAGACCCCTTGTGCGGCACATTGCATTAATTTGATGTTGGAAGACTTTGAAAAGAAGATACAAATTCATGAAGAGACAATTCCAAAAAGCAGAAAAATTACAACCTACATCTATTCAAGGACAGGTCTTATTTCTCTATTGCAACATTTCACCAAAGGCCAAGATTTGGTAAGGCCAGAAATTACTCGTTTTGCTACATCTTATTTGACTCTAGAGTGCCTTCAAGAAAATAGAGCTGCTTTGAGATAAGAATATTCACATCTAATGAATAGAAGTTCTCTAAGTTTGCTACGACAAAGGATGGGAGAGTTATAGACGAATTGATTTTGGATAGAGTTTTGGAAGGATATAATCACTTGTTTGAAGGCTGCATTTTCTCTTATCAAAGTTCTTCGAATGGTTGATTTAGATGAGGAAATTATGGGCTTTATTTATGAGGCAATGGATCAAGCTAAAGAGAGAATATTCAAATTGCTTTCAATGGTGTTAAGAAAAGGTAACTAACTATAACTACTATCAAATTAAATTAGTCTCTATTTTGTGATCTATGTTGTATTGTATATTAAATCTTTGTTGTTTGCTCTTTATCAATTATGTACCTAAATGGAATATCATATATAAAAGATGGGATAAACAGCTCCATAGGCCTTTGCATGTTGCATGCTATTTTCTTAATCCTAGGATGCACTATAGTCCTAAATTTAAGGTTGATCTTGAAGTTAAGCGTGGACTATATGATTGTTTGACAAGGATGGTGCTTGACCAAGATGAACAATGTAAAATTGATTGTCAACTTAATTCATTTAAAAAGCAAGCTGGTAATTTTTTTGGCTAGAAAAACTATTGATATGCGTCTACAAACTAATTGGTGGATGTCATGGAGATGAGCATCCTAAGCTTCAAAGATTTGTTATTTGAATACTAAGCTTGACATGTAGTTCTTCTGGATGGGAACATAACTAGAGTGCCTTTGAGATGGTAAGTAGAATTTCTTTTCTAAAATTATGTACTAGGCTAGCCAACTATTTTTTTTTTTATCTTAAATTATAATTTAATATATTATTATTTGTTTAGGTGCATACTAAAAGAAAAAACCATTTGAAGCAAAATACAATGAATGATGTGATATTTGTTATGACAAATTCAAAATTGGCCAAGAAGAAGACAACTAAGAGAGTGAAGGATCTTCACACAAATGTAGATGATATTCCATCTAACAATGAGTGGATAGTGAAAAATAATGATAGAGGAAATCATGAAGATTTGGGCCTAGAAGACAATTTGGAAGATGAGGATATTCAGGTTGATGCTCTTAATGAAAATGAGGACCTGGATTTAGACCAAGGTTCATATCAAGATGTTGTTAGTGATGTCCCTAATATAGACAATTTAGATGATGGACCAAATGAAGATGATGATGGAGATGACAACTTTTTTTATTATCAAAATATTTTAAATATGATAAAATAGATATTTAAAGTTTGGATATTAATTTTGTATTTGGTTTGGAACTTTGGAATATGTTTATATTGGACATGTTCTTAATATTTATCTTTTAAAGTATTGTGGTTTTAATTAATGTTTTTATTTTCTTCCTATTTATATTATTTTATATGTATATATATAATTTTGTAAGATCTTACATTCCGTGTTGCAATCCTACGAGTTACAATCCTAAATCCCCTCTCCGATCCTATGTAAAATCTCAATTTTGACTACCATGCTGCAGTCTATTTTTGTGCTGTTTCTTCTCCACCACAAGCCTATCAAATTCTTCCTCTACTATATATGTGTCTGTTTCTTTCAGTGTTTCTGTTTCCACATTATTGATTTCTTCCCCTTCCATCAAGACATCCTCTCCCTTTCTGTTTTCTTGCTGCAAAGATTCTCTTACCTCACTGCAATTCAGATTCTTCTTCCATTTTGTTTTTGCTTCTAATTTCTGATTTTCCTTCCCATTCCAAGATTCTTGATTCTCCCACTTCTTGCTCCTCCTTCAATTCTCTTCAGATACCTGCAAGCTCTTTCCTTATTTCCCTAATAAGGCAATCCTCCTCAATCTCCCTTCTCCAATCTGCAATCTCTTTCTTCATTTATCCAAGAATGTCAAGAATTTCCTTCCTCATTCTTGTTGAACTCTAAACAGCTCCAGAATTAACCATTTCATAGTATCCGATCTTCAAAAGATTCCCAGAACTACCTTGAGAGCCATATTGTTAAATTTGAGAAATCAAAGGAATAATGAGTTTTAGTTGAAAAAGGCTGCTTTTGCTAAAAAAGAATTTAGCAATTGTTGAGAGAGGGAATATTG